GTAAAAATTTAAATACTGAATTATTACTGTAAGTATTTTAACAAAATAAAAGAATGAACTTATAAATTTTATCTAAATTTTATTAAATTTAAATCAAAATTTATCTAAAATTTATTAAATTTAAACTAAATTTTGCTTAAATTTTTTTTTGTTATCAGAAAAAATTTTATGGGTCGGTCCCCGTCTCAAACTAACTTATATTTAATCTGACATAGATTCAATCCGGATTTAATAGAATCCGGATGGCCTGTCTCGAACACTAACGCTAATTAGCACAAGTCAATTCTCCGAATCAGGATATATTTAACACTTGACTATTGATTACAAAAAATTTGCGTCACAAATAGCTACAGGGATTAAACCTTGACAATGCACATTAGAGAACATTAAGAAAACGTATTTATTTGGGTCGGAATTAGGGAGTGCATTTAGAGAGGTTTCACCGTATTCCAAAACTAAAACAAAAATACATGTCGTGGCTGATGTGGTCTCCACCTATAATTTTTAATTATCAAATCTAACCCTAAACCCCAACCTAAAAAAGCACCCAAAAAAAAAAAAATTTAAAATTTCATACAGCACCAACCCATATTTTCTATACAGAATTGTTAATTTCGGATGATCAGTTAATTAGATAATCAACCACTTGATGTTCAACCAATCCAATTAGACGAATGTGTTGAATGATAATAAATTAAAAACTCTATTATTTAAATAATGAGTAATGTTAACACGTATTTCATTCATCACATCCTTATTAAGCTATGTACCGTACGTACGTACTGTACGTACATACGTACGTATTACAGTACATATAGGCGAATATGCGGAATCATGCGGGAACATGCAACTGTGGACACAATACCCCGAAAATTTTTATAAGAGGATCAGGTCGTTTAACAATGAGAAGGTTATGCAAACTACCGTTTTAAAGAATAAAATCGTTCAAACAACATGCCTCAGACAAATGGGTTTGAGCTAGCGATATACAATCCTGTCAAATGATATGTCTGAGTAGAGCTCTAACCAGGGCTAAAACGACACATAGTAAATACCGGCCATTTAATAAGTGTCGTTTTTGATTTAAAACTTTATTACTTGTAAATTTGATGTATCAAAAATGATACTTCAAACAATGGGCAGCGGCGTAGTAAATGGCCACCGTATACTATGTGTCGTTTTAGCCCTGGCTCTAACCAATAGAAAACAGTTGGGTTTGACACATAGTTCGCATAATCATTATATCCTTATAATTATTTATGGCATAGTTAGTAATTGTTTTGTACATTTACCCAATTAAATATGAGAAAATATGAGGTTTAAATTAAAATTTGGCGCCTCTAGCTAAGGTCCAATTCCGATATGAAATCAAAACTATGTATTACAGATTTTCATGTTACACGAATTATTTTCATATTTTATATTTATTAATATAAGTTATATATACTAACAAATATTTCATTATAAAATTACTATTCGTGCATTGCCGATGTTTGACCCGCCTTGTGTACTTTGGATTTCCTGTGCATTTTTAGACTATTACGCCCAACGTTTTAAAATGTTCTATTACATTGTGTAGGGGCCAACCCGCAAAATTACCGGACTTGGGCCCGGATTTTAGGCTCATAATCAATTTGGGCCAATACCGGACTATATAGCTAATGATTAACGGGCCTGGCTTAGGCCTGATTTAACCTATTGTAAACTTTAGTAAATTTTAAAGTCGGACGAGCCTGGGCTCAAATTTTCAAACACGTAATAAATTTGGGTAAGCTCGGGCTTAGACATACCCGGCCCATTACGGACTCTAATTATGCGATATATTCTAGGCGAATGATATTTCCACAACTCTTTTTTGATATTTCCACACTCATGTAGATCACTTTTTTTAAAAACTTTAATCGAAGGTATCTCGATAACCACCTGATCAAATTCGACGAATTTTTTTACAAGTATACAGAATTCAAATAAAAACAATTTTCATCAAATTGGTCAGGTTATCGAGATACCTTCAATCAAAGTTAGAGAAATTTTGCTACGGCTATTATTTTAAACGTTCGGATTTTTTTAAAAACTTTGATCGAAGCTATCTCGACGACCACCGGATCAAATTCGATGAAATTTTTTTTATTTGAATTCTACCATTATGTAAAATTTAAATAAAAAAAAAATCATCGACTTTAGTCAGCTGGACGTCGAGATAGCTTTGATCAAAGTTTTTTAAAAAAATCTAAACGTCTATCAAAATAATAGCCGCGGCAAAATTTTCTCTAACTTTGATTGAAGGTATCTCGATAACCACCTGACCAATTCGATAAATTTTTTTTTATTTGAATTCTGATTAAAGTTTAAAAAAAAGTGATCTACATGAGTATGGAAATATCAAAAAAGGGGTGTGGAAATATCATTCGCCATATTCTATTACCTTGAAATTTCACAAAATGTTTAAAAACAAAGCTATGCATTTAAAATTCTCTAAATATGTAATTTTGGGATATTAATGCTCTAAATTTCATTAATTAGAACGAAAAAACTACCTTAAACATGCAAGTCACAATTTCATTTTAAACTTTTCGAAGGTTATGTCGATCATCATGTGATAATTGTCAAAGTATTCTAGCCGCGAAGAAAATTTTCAAACTTCGAACGAAAGTATCTCAATAACTACCTATTTAAAATTGGTAGATTTTTTCATTTTATTTCTATGAATCAATAGAATTAAAATAAAAAAATTATCATCGATTTTAGGTAAGTAGTTATTGAGTTATCATCACTCAAAGTTTGGGAAAAGTTAGCCGCAGTTTGTGTTTTGATAATCGTCCAATTTTTTTTTGAACTTTGAACGATGATATCTCGATAACTACCTACTTAAAATCGATGTGGCTTTTTTTATTTTGATTATATGGATTCATAGAATTAAAATAAAAAAATTTATTGTGTTTAGATATGTAACTACTGAGATATCATCGCTCAAAGTTCAAAATAATTTTAGGCAATTATCAAAACAAACTGCGACAATGTTTTCCAAACTTTGAGCGATGCTAACTCTCGATAAAAATTTATTTTAATTGTATTTATTTATATAATTAAAATAAAAGTTCTGTAGCAATTTTAGATAAGTAGTTATTGACAAATTGTCGGCCTAGGTAGCGCTCCCACAAAATTTTTTCCATCCCATGTAAAATCTAACCTAAAATGGAAATGTTGTACAATTATTATAACTAGATTATAATAGATTTTTAATAGATGTGACACTAAGGATATGAATTTTAGGGACGAAACCTTAAGGGAATTCACTATGTTTTTGTGTAACATGGTTAAAATTCACATCTACTTATATGTCACCAATTACAGGGGTGGAAAATTTTGTGGAAACGCTAGGGGTTTTACAATTGTCACTTGATGATCGGCGACATGCATAACCTAGCACAGGTTTCGTAAATGCATATGATTAAAAGGCCTAAAATCGTTTAATCGTTTATTTTACTAAATGATTAAATTCGGAATTGAATAAAAATAATTCATATTAGTAAGATTCAACACCCAAGTTGATCTTGTTTAGATTTTGTTATTAGTATTTTTTAGTATAATTATTTTAATATTTAGTTTATTACAAAATTTTTATTAATAAATATTAGACCAAATTTACATAGTTTACAAGAGTATATGTTAAATTTAGATTAATAAAGAAAGTTGATACACAAAAAGTATAAGTTGTAAAATGAAATCATGGAAAATGGTATGATCGACAACACATCGGGCTTTCAATTATGATCTGAAATCCTTGAAATTGTCGTTTTAGTGAAGTCCAATATGTTGTCGATCATCAGATAAATAATCAATAAAAAACGGATGGTCCCTTTTCCCTTGGCGTCACTCATATAGCATAAATCTTTTCTACTTATTGTTATCCTGGATCTCCTAAAACTCGATAGTACTGTATTTTATATTTTTACATATAAATTTAGGATTTAGCAGGTTGATATCGCAGGTTAATATTAAAAAAAAAAAACTAATATTATTATTAGTTAAGGTTAGGGTTCGAACTAGTATTAAGATTAAGGTTAAAGAGCATATATATGTGCAAAACTAAGTGCCAAAAACTTTTAATTAGAAGCCCAAGACTAGTTTATATAATGAAATTTCAAGATATTTGAAATTTTTGAAATTTTTTGTAATTTTCTAATTTTTCGTTACACAAGATCCTGTGATCTAATTGGTCAATCATATTAATCTGCAACCTGCTAACGCTAATATTTACATGTGCATTTTTACCGATCTCCGTAAATAGATTTTTTTATTTTTTACGTTACTCCAGATCTAGGCAATTGATTAGCATTTTGCCCATTCACATTTATTTATTTTTTTTTAAAAAAAAATAAATATCAATGTAGAAACTCAAAATTTGTAAATCAGTAAATATTTGATGTTAGCTCAGCATAAATGCATAAAAATCCTGCATTGCTTTCATTCACAAAACATGCGGCAACTTATAGAATATAATTATTTATAATGACAATCACCAGCGTACAGAATTCAAAAAAAAAATTTCATTCTCGAGCGCCAAAATAGGATAATGCAATTCAATATTTCGTGCCACAAGCTATTATATATAGTAACAGGTACTAACGGTATTGTAAAATAATTTTTTTATATGTTGCACACCGGTGAAGGAACAATCGTGTAACATCGACGGTTCCTGTTACGTCGTACGTACGTGTACGTACGAATCTAGTTACACATTAAAAAAATACAAAGGTTTTAGCGAAAAAATTATTATAAAGCATCATTTTCCAAAGTTATTTCTCTAATATTCTCTTTAAAAAATACATTACTAAATATAGTATATCTTATAACTAAAATTTAGGGTGCGGAGATTTTGTCATTTCTTAACTAATATGTAACTTGTGGAATGAACGGCGTTGTTATCGTTATTACTGAAACTGTTATATAAATTATGGAATTCGTTTCAGGGCCAAAACAAAAACTATTCAGCAAATATGAAATGCCCAGAAAAATTCTCGTATATTGATTCTATAAAAAAAATCTTAAAAGCAATTCGTAATGAGGTTCTTATCATGTTCCTTGTATCAATCACTGACTGGTCGACTGCTATAATTCCTCCGCTACTTATGACTGTCGGTAATTTGATAGTGTTGTTGCTTCTGTTTAATGAACTTTAATCAGTAATATTAATATAAGTTCTTGCCATTATTAGGCGCATTTTACATGCATTTTTTTGGTTCGATTGTGACCTCGCCTTATTATTTCTCGTTCTTTGAGATTATGCAAAAAATCTTACTTCCACGTTTATTTCGAGTTGCTATATACTTTTTAAGTTTTCTTATCTCCTTCAATTGGTAAACATTTTACATTAATTGATTTTGTAATAAAAAAGCCTGTAATATCATTTTAATTATGATCTTTATTTTACAGGTTAAATCAATTTGATGGTGTGGAAGAAGACAAACTTAACAAACCTTTTCGCCCTGTTCCATCTGGCCTCATCACAGTTAAAGGTGCACGACGCCGTTTAATCGTATTTAACATTATGTTTCCAACTGTATCTTATCTCATTGGTGGTTTGCCTTTACTTATCAGCGCTTTTCTTTGGCAAACGTGGTTTTTCACTTATGAACTTCTTAACCTTAGTGCCAATGCTTTCTGCAAGAATGTTTTTTCGGCTTTTGGTGCATGGATAATGTTTGTTGTTACCAGTAATCTTATAATTGGTACTGAATTTAAAATATATAAATGGTGGGGCTGTGAACCGTGCCCATTTAAACTTTCGGTTGCTATCTTTGTGTTGTTCACCCTTCAAGTCCAAGATCTTCGGGATCAGAAAGGCGACAAGTTTATTGGTCGTAAAACATTACCCCTTCTTATCGGTGATAACATTTGTAGGTGGTTGACTGCTATTTCATTGGCTCTGTCCGCATTTTTCCTATACGGTTCTGCGAATTATTTTTTGATATTGCCTGGTGTCAAAAAGCTCAACACATCTGTTCCATCAGAATTCACTATTATCGAAACGGGTCTTTTTGCTGCAATAGTGTGGATTTGTGTTAGATTGATTAAATATAGGAATCAAGAAGAAGATCGCTGTACTTATGAGATATGGTATAGTGGGTTTTATGCTTTGCTTTGCTTTTATTATGGAATGACTATTGGCACATTTGCCAACAATATATCATTAAATAATATGATATCCGTATTATAAATGAGCAAGGTGCGCTATATGAATTGCGCGCGCGGAATATCAGATCGTTCTAGGGGTAACAAACACGATCTTAAAAATCTATTGATTTTCCGAAGATCTTTTTTTTTGTTGATTCCCCGATTGATAGCTACGTATAACATAGGTTACAAAGTGACATGTTTGGAGATGTTATAGGTGGATGCAGAATATTTATAAATTTGGAACCCACTTAAACTAGGCAATACCCTTTTTGGTACGGTACAGTTTTGAGTATTGGGTACGGTACAGTTTTGAGTATTGGGTGCGGTACAGTGTATTTCTAAAGTACATATATGCACCTAGTAATTTTGTGTACCTAGTAGGTACGCTATATAATATATATTAATTTAAGAACTGTACCTAATAAAAATATTTATCATCTAGGTACGGTACAGTTAATATTTTAAATAATTACTATATATATAGATTTATAATTTGTGTACCTTATAAAAATATTATTCTTTTGGGTACGGTACGGTACAGTTAATAGTTAAAATTTGTATTGTATATTTTTTTTTTTAAAGTATAATTTAGAATATATAAAAAGTATTAATATTAAGATTATATCTATATACAATTAATAAAATAAATTTAAAAATATAATTAATTAATAAAAATTTTTAATTTGGAATTAAGAAATATGAAAATAAATAGTTCATTTATTATTAAAAAACAAACAGACTCAGATAGAATAATCTGACTTGGAAGAAAGGTTGTATAAATATAGTATCCCTTAAACCGTCAAGTGGGCAAATTTGCCTCTTAAATTTTTTTTGGCCAATTTTTGTGCAATTGCCCCAAATTTTATTAAGATGCACCCCATATTCCCTAAGTTAGAATGGAAGTGCGCCACATGCTATATGTCGTGTAATTCTTATTTTGAGAAGCTTCCTTAACGCTGGCCCAAAAATCAACTAAGTATAGTTGTTCGTAATATAGTATTTTTAATAGTAAAATGGGTATGATCACATGACAATCATGAAAGATCTTCATGATCGTCACGTGGAGGTACCTTTCATAATATGATATTAAAGTTGGTCAAAGATTCTTCACAACCAACTTCACAGAGTTGATTTTTGGAGAAATATAAGGAAGATCATATGACTCAAAAGTTTGGATAAAATAGCACATTTTACAGCCATTGTGTAAACTTATGCTCTTTGTTTAAACCATTTTGGGAACGTCACACTGTGACTATTGAGTGTAACATGTGGTTTAAGCTTCAGGAGTTATTGTAGCTGGTTGGAATAAAGATCTTCATAAAAAAAAAATTTTTTTTATATTCTACTTCATCCAATTATTTTAGTGGGCAAATTTTCCCGCTTATCCGAACAGTTTAAGGGATACTGCTAAAATTAAGAAAGTTGATACACAAAAAGTATAAGTTGTAAAATGAAATCATGGAAAATGGTATGATCGACAACACATCGGGCT